TGCCCTATAGCATGGTGTATTTTTATTTGTTTTGTTAATAAAAGTTATATGTTTTATATATAGGCAAAAGTGAGTTTAACATTGTATTTTGTTGTTGCATTCAAGCAATTGACGCCGATCTGCCGCTAATTTCGCACGGCGCTTTTAAGCTATTTAAAAGCGAAGGAAAGCAAGGAAATGAGGGAAAATTCAAACGAACAATTGCTTTACTCCGAATTGCCGCAATTTGAAAGTGAAAGTAAAATGCGCATGCCGCTTTTACAAGCCATTTAAAAGAGAAGGAACGCGAGGAAAAGAGGGAACGCCTCCGCGGTGATACCGGTATTACCGGTGTTGTCACACGTCGATTAACTGGTGGGAAAATTTCCTCACTGTCACAACCCTACAGCACAGTTGGTACTTTATCACAATAAAATACAGTGAACCAAACATCAGCGCGCCCGCTTCTGTGTCACCGTTAGAACGCGACTGAAGTACAAAGCCTATAATTTACATAATAAATAATAGTTTAGCATTCAGATACGTTACATTGCAAATATGGAAATATTATGATTTGTGCCGAATGAGAGAGGTAGGATACACGAGCACAAAGCTCCATTTCACAAACAGTTGAGTGCACAAGCCTTTAAAGTATACTCCTTTGTCAGTCTGTGAGAGACGCATTCAGAATCAGCACATGGTCACTGTCTAGTGGGCTTTGTTTTCAAGTGCGCAACTCACGACATTCGCTGTTCTTCTGCTGGCGGCCGGTTATCAAACAGCGTTGCATTGCTGCGGGCGCCACCTTCTGGATTGGGGGAATTACCTGTATTCGTTGTAAGGCCTCATGGACCGAACCGAGATGTCCGTACCATGACGGTTCGGTACGAATACATGTATCGTTCCACCCCTACTTGTTATACAGGACTAAGAAAACCGTGATGTTTCTACTGTTTTGGGCCATCTGATGGAACTGCTGGTTTCACCAAGTGCTGCATTGTCTCTAAATCTTACATTTGTTGATGTAAATGTGTTTTTGTTTTGAACATTATTTAGCTGATTGACAGCTGTGGTTTCGTCTAAATTATGACTTGTGATTAGAAAAAAATAAATGGAAAACAATCAGTAATATTTTGAATTGTGTTCATTTGTTTTCCAGCAAAAGTGTGTTGTATAATGTAGACTTGAGCTGTACATGCTGTAAAAAGTGATGACCTGCAATTGTTACCTTAAAGAGCTATTTCTAACTGGCATTAACCTGTAAAATAAAATTGATTTTTAGATCAATTTTTAGGTTACCAATTTTTGTTTTCTGTGTATTAAGGTATCACTGCACACTTGTAGCAGTTTAAGTGGTCTTTTGTACTCAAATCAAGACAGAACGAAAAAAAAAAAAGTGGTGTTTTGTGTCACTGCAGATTGCTGCAGCAGACAATCCTGATGATCCTGAGAGAATGGTAATTATCACTGGACCACCCGAGGCTCAGTTCAAGGTAAAAGCCATCATTCAGTCATTTAGGCTCCTTATCTTCAGGGTACAAATACCATTAGGCAGGACCCAGGTTGCTTTACATCGATATCTATATTCATCCCTCATTTCTCCTTTACTCATCTGTGTATGTGTGTGGCTGTAGGCACAGGGGAGGATATATGGGAAGTTGAAAGAGGAGAATTTTTTCACTGCTAAGGAAGAAGTGAAGTTGGGGGCACATATAAAAGTGCCTTCGACCGCCGCCGGACGAGTCATCGGGAAGGGTGGCAAAACGGTATTTGTGCATTGTGTACATGTGATTGGATCGACAAAGACACATGTTAAAACCTTGTGTAAAAACACACAAGTCAACTGAGACAGATTGTTATTTACACCTGGTAGTAACAAAACACTTCAGATCAGATTTTCAAGGAGCTGTCACTGAATATGTTACTTTGTGTAGAAAAAGTGCAGAAAAAGTACAAATGAACACACAAAGATTTGAATTGAAAATTGCTTTCAAATGCTTCCAAATTTTAATTTCACCACAAACGGGTTAACACTAGAACTGCCACGGGGTAAATTTTACCCATGTTTTTAAAACGTACATAAAAGATTTTTAATAAAACATTCAAGTCTCCCAGTCACTGACTTTTACTAAAATTGTGTGATTTACAATCCCCTGTTGTTAAAAACTGTTTAGATAAAACCAGATCAAAAAAGGGGGCATTAATACCTATAAGCGCCAGCGTGGGTCAAATTTACCCGCTATATAATGCCTGTATGTTCACGCTGTCATTTTCGTGCCGCTTATGTTTTAACATCGTACATTGCTAGGCAATGCCTTTCACTCACTGAATTGGCGGTTATCAGTTTCAAATAAAGACAAAATGAGTATTTATGAATGCTGAAGAGGTATAAGAAGCACTAAATGCCATGAGCGATGGAGAGTCTGATGGTGGGGAGATAAGTAAAGCGTCTGTCGGCTCAGCATCTGACGGCGATCAATATATCATATTTAGATGTTTTATCCTAATGTTACTCATAATTGTTCAAAATTTGGATTAATTATTTAATTTTTGTTTTGCCATTTCTATCGTTTATGGTTCGCTTCTGTGTTGCCGTTTATTCTAGTCTGCCTGTTTCCTGAAGAAAAAAAATCCGATCTGATGTAGGCTAATGAAGAAAACCTTTTTTTTTTTATTTTTGGATTACCCGAAGTTTGGTGGTGTTCTTGTATAATTCAAATTATAAATGATATAACTAAACAAATTAATAATTAATTAGGTGAAGCTGTGCGCTTGAATTTGTCATCGCATCATCCTATGCAATGTGCTGAATTATTATTGCTCATTATTGTCTATAGGCTATTTTAGTCATTTAAATAACAGGTTATCTTAATATATTGATTAATGACATTGTATTATAATAGCCTATTACACCACCCAAATATGTATTTACTTCTAATTTTTGTTGTCAGTGCAGGCTTGTTTAGCTTAAAGGTGCTGTATGTAAGTTTTTAAATCTACTAAAGCATAAAAATACCATAATATGATATTTAAGAAACATGCTAAGTTAACATACTTGTTTATCTGAAAAACAATGCTACAGTCAGTTATTCTCCTTTGAAAATGTGCATTCCGGCCCGGAATGTCGGTCTCTGTTTTGGTTTGTGAAATCCGCCCACATGCCAGTTTACCCAATTGTATTTTGGCACCCCGGGTTGCCAGTTGGCGGAAAACAGAGCGTATTTCATTTCATTCATCGTCAAGTGCGCTCGTTCCTGTTGGTGTCATCAGTCTGGCAACCTGCGTGTGCATCAAGTCTAAGGAGGCGGGGCTGGGTGAAAAAAACCCTCTCCAATATTTTGAATTTGGACTGCAATACCTAGTTCAACCACTCTGTGTCAATCCTACATACAGCACCTTTAATATTGACCGTTATGAAAAGTGACTAGTGTAACCTGCATAAAAAAGCCTTGAGCATAAAACAACAGGACAAAAATATAGTTGATGACTAGACATAATCATTTCATGACTCTAGACACTTCTTTGTGAAGACAGTAGCATAATACAGTGAAATAATATGTTCTTTGGCCATTCAAAAACAGCTGTCATGTGCGTGGGTAAAATTTACCCGCTGGCGCTTTTAGGTATACAGCGACCCCTGGCGGTTCTAGTGTTAAATAAAATGAGTAATTTTAGTCACTTACATTGACTACATTTAAGTAATTAGTAAATCTCCGTAGTAGGTTGTTGGGCAACACTTAGGAATCACGGAGCACTTCTCACTTGTGATTGCAGTGTTAATTCCAGTTCTAAATGCAATCTGTTTGTGTGACCTCTGACCTCTTACCAACCACAGGTCAATGAGCTGCAGAATCTCACCAGCGCTGAGGTCATTGTACCACGGGACCAGACACCAGATGAGAATGATGAAGTGTTTGTTAAGATAATTGGACATTTCTTTGCCAGTCAGGTATGATTTTGACATTTTCCCAGCCTTTAAACTCTTTGTATTTTTTTTTTAAATTTGACTTAAACACCAGGGTCATACCAGGTCACCCCTGAAAAAAGTGGTAACTTGCAATTGTTAAAGTTGTTACTGCAGGTACAAAGACATATTTCTACCCGTTTTAACCTGTATAAAGTAGTTTTGATGTCATCATTTACTCACCCTCATGTCATTCCAAACCATAACACTTTAATTCGTCTTCAAAACACAAATTAAGATATTTTTCATGTTCTCTAATTTTTGTCCATCCATTGAAAGTCCACGCAACCAAATTTAGGTTTTAAGGAGTTCATAAAGACACTGTAAAAGTAATCCATATGAATCAAGCTGAATAATCAAAGTCTTCTCAACAGACTTGAGCTTTCTGACCCTGCATATGCAACTGACACATTTAAGGCCCAGAAAGGTAGTAAGGACATCATTAAAATAGTCCATCTGACATCAGTGGTTCAACCGTTATGTTACCATAAAGCTATGAGAGGCTACTCCCATGAACATGCAGTGAAGACACAGAAGAGAAGAATTGTTGAATAAAGTCATTATTTTTGTTTTCTTTGCGCACAAACAGTATTCTCGTAGCTTCATAATATTACGGTTGAACCACTGATGTCACATTGACTATTTTAACAATGTCCTTACTACCTTTCTGGGCCTTGAATGTGTGAGTTGCGTTGTTGTCTATAAAGGGTCTGAAAACCCAAGGATTTCATCAAAAATATCTTAATTTGTGTTCCGAAGATGAACGAAGGTCTTACAGGTGTTACGGCCCCGGTCTAGGTCAGGACCGCAACATAAACGACACAACAATGAATGGCTGTTTAAGTACTCATTTTAATTATCTTAGTTGATCTTCTGATCAATCTTTTCGTGCGGTAGCAGTTTTGGAGAGTACAAACAATATCATCACAAAGAAATAAACAAATTAAAGAAACTGAGGCAAATTATCAGGGGTGAACAAATGCCAAAACAATAAACAAACAACACTCTAACTTCCCATTAAAGAAACTAACTTCCCTGTGCATCAAAATAAAGAAACCAAAATACAACAATATAACCTCACTCCTTGTCTACCCAAAAACAGGAGAAAAGGGTAATGGCCGAGTGGCCTATAAAAACAAATAAGGCACTCACCCCCTACGGCCTCGCACATGGCTTACAAACAGGAACAGTGAAACATTGAAGCTCAAGACATAAGGCTCTCACAACACATGGAGCTAACAGCACTCTGTTAGAATATACACTTGAGATCTCGCAGCATTTTCACTACAGCTTAACACAGTTTTAACACCAGAGCAATCAAAGAGAGACATACAGAGCAATGATCATAGCGAGCATAAAAAGTGGCAGTCAGAGTGAGAGCAAGAGTGAGAGCATCCAGCGAGATCCGGGGGAATTTATAGTACAGGTCTCGTCTCTAAAGAAGAGAAGAATTGTTGAATAAAGTCATTATTTTTGTTTTCTTTGCGCACAAACAGTATTCTCGTAGCTTCATAATATTACGGTTGAACCACTGATGTCACATTGACTATTTTAACAATGTCCTTACTACCTTTCTGGGCCTTGAATGTGTGAGTTGCGTTGTTGTCTATAAAGGGTCTGAAAACCCAAGGATTTCATCAAAAATATCTTAATTTGTGTTCCGAAGATGAACGAAGGTCTTACAGGTGTTACGCCCCCGGCCCACTCACCCCCTACAGCCTCACACGTGGTTTACAAACATGGACCGTGAAACATCGAAGTTAAAGACATAAGGCTCTCACAGCACATGGAGCTAACAGCACTCTGTTAGAATATAGACTTGAGATCTCACAGCATTTTCACTACAGCTTAACACACAGTTTTAACACCAGAGCAATCAAAGAGAGACATACAGAGCAATGATCATAGCGAGCATAAAAAGTGGCAGTCAGAGTGAGAGCAAGAGTGAGAGCATCCAGCGAGATCCGGGGGAATTTATAGTACAGGTCTCGTCTCTGGTCCACCCACCAGCAGTCTTTTATTAAGCCTTGGACCAATCCTGGTAGAGAGGAGACAACAGGAACACATCCACAGCATACAATACGTCTTAGACGTAACACCCCCACCCTTAGAATTACAAATAAATAACTGTTTGTAACACACAAAAACAGAATGATTCTTAACTCTCAAGCTTACTTGGAGCACGCGACAAAGCATCAGCAATCACATTCTCGCATCCTTTCTTGTGCCAAATTTCCAGGTTAAAGGCTCTCACAACACATGGAGCTAACAGCACTCTGTTAGAATATACACTTGAGATCTCGCAGCATTTTCACTAGAGCTTAACACACAGGTTTAACACCGGAGCAAGCATGATCAATCAAAGAGAGACATACAGAGCAATGATCATAGCGAGCATAAAAAGTGGCAGTCAGAGTGAGAGCAAGAGTGAGAGCATCCAGCGAGATCCGGGGGAATTTATAGTACAGGTCTCGTCTCTGGTCCACCCACCAGCAGTCTTTTATTAAGCCTTGGACCAATCCTGGTAGAGAGGAGACAACAGGAACACATCCACAGCATACAATACGTCTTAGACGTAACACAGGTTTGGAACTACATAAGGGTAATATTTTGAGGGTATTCATTATTGACAGAATTTTCATTTTTGGGTAAACTATCACTTACCGGAGTGCAGTATGGTAGAAGTATGTGCAGTGTAGGGCTGGGTATCGAGTTCGATACTTTTTAGGCACCGACCGAATTGCCTCGATACCATCGAGTATCGAAAAACTCAGCTGTCTCGTCGTTCGGTACCAAATTTCGATACCTAAGGGATTAATCTCATCAGCGTCAGTGAACCAATAAGCCTGCAGCACTAGCCGGTGTGTTCGACTAGAAGAGGTGCAGCGCAGATCGATCAGTGTTTGACATCCGCGAGAGCAATTCGAAAGCGCACGGAGCAGTCTGCTCTCTTTAGCTCTCGTGGTACTTTAATACACCGATTGGTCTGCACAGTCGGTCCATGTCAAGTCAAACACACCTACTAGTTTACTCAGGATAGACTAAGAGGTACTAGGTTACACTCAGAGATGTGGCGCACACGTGAGGCTGTAGTGCGAATGAGTCCCAGCCCCCTTTGATGTAAGGCTACATTTACACTGGTGAGTTTATGTTTTAAAATGAAAACGATCCTCGTCATACTGGCATTTCCACTGCATTTCAAGCCGGCTTTCCACTATCTCCGACAAATGACAAGCGACATTCAGTCATTCATTTCCAATGGAGAGTAGCACGGGAGCTGCGTGGAGTTCCGATCATATGCAGATGTCCGTTCATACTAACGTTACACGACCGAAAGCA